ATTAAGTAATTCTTTGGGCTTAGTAAAAATATACATATATATATATTTATATATATAAAGATTTCAAGAACTTTAAAGCCAATATGAGAAAAATATTGTAAATTATTAAAAAAAAATACTTTTGAATACAAATTTATGCCTAAATATTCGAAAAAATTAAAAAATTAACTTAATATCAAAAAATATAATAAAGATACTAAGATACAATATAGAAGATAAAAGATACTAAGATGAATATATTAAAAAATACAATATTAAAAATATCTTTTAAGTAATAAATTCTCAAAGAACATTAACCCAAACTCAATTCTATTTAAAATAAAATAAAATATAAATGCAAAATAAATTTAAAAAAAATAATAACATATATAAATGTATAAGACCTTTTCTCATTCCTTTTATTTCTAATTAAATAAATTTATAATATTTATCATTTTTATTTTATTTTCATTTTATTGAATGAATACTGTATGTTTAGCACTCATCTGATTCATCTGGCTCATCGCTTCGGCTCATTGGCATTTGAAGCGTCTCGTGTTTCCTTTGCTTTCTCCTCTTGGACGAGCCCCTCTCCTCCACCTTTCCCCGCCCCAAAAAAAAATTCAACGTCCCTGTCCCTGTGTCGTTTGTCGCTTCCACTAAGTAAGTAATCCCGATATATAAGAGGAACAGGCGGACGAGCATCCAAAATCCCAGGAAATATGCACAAAAATGTACATAAATTCGTTTGCCATTGAGGATGAAGGAGGGAGGAGGGGGGTGTTGGGTCTTTGGGGGTAAAAAGCAAACTGATCCACACCGACACGTGTGTCCTCTTCTCCTCCTGTCTAACATAGCCGTGTCTCTTTCACACTAGCCGTGTCTGCACCTTTCCAGCCTTGGCATCTCTGTTGCTGCTCCCCTGGCCAGGGGTCTTGGCCATTCATTTTCATTCATTCAACGCTTCATTGCTGCGGTAATTGCTTCCAAATGCTTAAACGCTTGCATTGTTGCTGTTATGTCAGGTACACTGAGAGAAACTTATAGAAAGAGGTCTCTGGGCAGTAGAGAAGTTCGAAACAAGCCGAAATTATAGAAAGAGGTCTCTGGATAATAGAGAAGTTCGAAACAAACCGGAGATTTTCTTATAAAAGGTTATACGAGGTCTGGGATCTATGGTTCGAGAGGTTCTTAAATTAAAATAATATATTAAATCTAGTATTTCTAATTAAATAAATATTTAAAAATATTAATTAACTTTAAAATAATTTTTTGTATTATTTTTTAATAATATTTTGAATTATTTTTCATACAAATATTCAAAAAAAAAATTACCTATTCATCCTGTTCGAACTTTTAACTTTTCCAAGGTTAAAACTAATATTTTAGCAAAACCAACAATAAAAAAATTCTTAAAAAAAAAAATAGTAAACAACCGACAAAAAACTAATAATTTTTAAATTTCAAAATATTATTTTTTAAAGAATTTGAAGTAAAAATTAAAAGAAAAATAAAAACCACAAAAATAATAATATTTTCAAAATCCCATAACCATTTCTCCCAGTGCACTTTGATTTCTTGGTGTTCCTGATCTCGTTGTCTGCCTCCACCCCTCCCTCACCCTCACCCCCTCAACAGCCTGCTGTCCACCCCCTCCATCCTCCATCCACCATCCATAACCCTGCCATGCCCAGTATGCCCGCCGTAACTCCCGGCTTCCAGTTTTCGGTTTCAACTTGGGATGTCCAACATGTGTCGTCGTCATTGATTTGTTGTTGATGGGAATGCGACGGCTGCTGGGCAGAAAGAAGGAGACAGCCCTACCCTGTCTGCCGTCCCGCTCTATTGACATTCGTCTGTCACAACCGAAAAATCAGAATCAGAAACAAGAGCAGCAAAAAAAAAAAAAAGAATTTTGAAATGGGATACCAATGCCGACAAAAAAGAATCTTTCTCCAAAAAAAAGAGGGGCGTCTTTTGTTTTTTTTTTTTTTTTAGTTTGGAGGTTCTGGATTCCGATTTTTTTTTTTTTAGGGGGCGTTAATTGTAAATTTTGTTCTAAAGAAACAACAGTATTTGGTATAAAAACATTTTTTGCATAATTACGGAAATTTAATTTTATTCTAAGAGCAGTACTTAAGTGGGGATTTAATCTTTTTTATAGGAATAGTTTAAAAAAAGAAGAATTTTAATTATTTAAGAAAGGGAATTATAGCATTAAAGAAGTATAGAAGTATAGATATATAGGAGTATAGAAATATAGATATATAGAAGTATATAGAAGAATTATTAAAATAATAGTATTTTACTATAGAATACTATATGTACATATTACATGTTTTTAATCAAAGCTTCTGATATTTTTACAATATTTTCCTTGAAATAATGCCATTTAATATTTCTTCCAACACGTCCTATAAATCTTTCTATTTTTTTGAATAATTAATAAATAAATAATTAAAAACTATAGTAATAAAATAATAAATAATAAATAAACGAAGATATTAAACATAATTTTTCTAGACTGTTATTACTACTGGTATTACCTCTCAACTATGTATTCCTATAGACCTATTCCTATAAAATATATTCCTATAGGGACCCAATTTTTCTTCCTCCCAATATTTAACGTTTTTTAGTTTAAAATAACAATAATATTTACAATAAAAATGTAATTAAAAAAATAAAATTTAAAAAATAATAATTATTCTCTTCATGCTTAAATAGTACTAGGGGACAGTGATGGGAAGTTGGTCACCCACTATGGTAGTACATATAAGGTAAGTGGGTGGTTCCATGGAATGTATGGAAAGTTCTCAGTTGCATTCTGGGCCACTCGAACGCTCGCTTTTAATTATGAGCTGAACCTTTGTTGTAAATTTCTGTTTACAGTTGTGCTGTATGCTGTGTCTTCTTCACGCCTTCTTCTTTCTTTTCTTTTTTTTTTAATTTCTTTTTTTACATATTTTTTTTTGTTTTGCATTCTTTTTGCATGCGCATTTTATTTAAATTTTTAACCTCATTCCCAGTCCCCTTCCCAGTCCCATTCCCAATCGCTACATGCAGAGATGTGCCTGCAGCATGAATTGTCAATAGTTCTTCGAACTGCGGAATGGGAATTGTGGGTGGGCCTTCAAAGGGGAGGCGGCGTAGGGGGCCATTCAAGAGGGAAAAGTGGGGCCAGAAGACACTCTTCAAGATCGCATGACCAAATAAAGAATGAGTCTGGGAGAACAGTGAGGTGAGTGCTAAGAATGGGTACTTGTGTGGAATTTTATTTGAAGGAGATATTAATTTTGGAATTTAAAACTTTGAATTTAAAATTAAGACTTGAAATTAAAATCCTAAAATTTTTTTTTGCAAATTAAGTTTAATTTAGGAATTTAAGATTTAAATTTCAGATTGAATTTTTAGAATTTAAAGATACTATCTAAGAACTACTAAAAACTAATATTTTGGGAGCTGATTTTTAGGTTATTTTACTTTGTTTTTAATATTAATTTTACTTTGATTTTATTATTAATTTTAAATTCAATTGTCTTTAAAAAAATGTATAAATGACGAAAGATTTTCTTATATTTTCATTAATAAAATTTTTATATTATTATTTTTTTTTAAATGAAGAAATAAAGAAAATGAACAAATTTATAATTTTAGGATATACATTTCTCTAAAAACACCCTTTTTTAAAACAGAAAAAATTGTTGTATAAACTTTTCTTTTCTATAATATTACTTTCTTAAAACTTCTATAAAAATTTGTATAAGATTCCACAAACAAAAATAACCTTTTACCTTTTTTAATAATTTCTAAGAATTATCCAAAACTAAAAGAAAATAATCCTATCTCTGACTTTATTTAATAAATATATATTTTCTTTATTCTTTTTGTGACCCACTGTGGGTGGAAATGGAAATGAGTGTACCTGGGGCAGTGGCAGTGGCACTACCTCTGCCTCTGAAAGGGGGTATTCTTTATGCCAGTTTGTCTTATCAATGTCAAGAGTTCGCTTTCCCATATAACACTTTTTTTTGTCTCCCTGTCTTCCCTCCTGATCGAACTGACAAACACATATCTGTATATTATATATATTTATTCCGATGTGGGGCACATGCTGTTGCTGCTGCTGCTACTGCTACTGCCGCTTCACGTGTCACTTTTGTGTGGCACTTCCGCTGTTTTCTGTTCCCTGTTTTTCGGGATTGCTGGATTCCTGGGATATATTCCAGTTCCAGTTGTGGCGTTGTGTCGCTTTCCTTTGCATCTGCCGGCCACCAATCAAGATTTTAATGCGTCGAACCCGATGGCTAATTTATGCCGGGGGCTATAATATCACTTAAGCTCTGAAGGCGTCCCCAGTCTCCCACCCACTGTTACTGTTAGTTGGGGCACTGTTATGTCCTTAACATGGCACCCGAGTGCTGGCAGATACGACGACCTGGATATATTTTTGGGGGGGCGAACTGCCGAAGTCCTCGCCTTCGGTCGGTTCGGCAGCTTCGGTTGATAATTTTAGACCAACTGTGGGGCCACACGAAGATGATATTATTTTTAGCAGAGGCACGCGAACGAAACAACAGTTTTGGGAACAGTTTTGGATCGTGCTGGGGATACTTTTTGTATTATTTCTTTGGGGAGAGATTTTTGGATTTTTTTTTTTGTCTTTTTTTGCATATAATGCGCGTGCCTCTGTTAACAGAGTGACGTCGACTGAGGCAGCAGCGGCAGCAGCAGCGACAGCAGAAGCCGAACTGGCAGCAGCAGCAACAGCAGCAGAGGTACGAGACCATCAGCGATTTTCCTATAACAAGTTTTTAGTACGTTTTCCGCCGTGTCAGCAGACAGTCGTGTAATTTTTACAGCGTGCCGCTAGCTCGCTCGCACGTCTCAGCTGTCTCTTTTCCACAACAACAACAAAAACAACGACAGCAACAAAAAAAACGACAACAAAAAAAAACAACTTAAAAAAGAAACATAAAAATCAAATATTACAAGCTACAAATAATAAAAAAAAAAATATTCAAAATATTTCAAAGAAAATATACGAAATTTTACCAAAAATTCTACGAAAATTCTATAAAAATTCTACAATAATTTCGTTCAGAATTCCTTCCAAAATGTCTTAATTTTCTTCTGAAAATTCTACAAAACTTCAAACCAAAAATAAACGTAAAAATAAACCCCTTTTCTTCTCTGGAAAACTTTCAATTTTTTTCAAAGTGCTTTGTGTTTTTGTTTCCTTAAAAAATAAAAAAATAAATATAAAAAATATTTAAGCAGTGAACCTTGCCCAACTCAAACCCAAAATCAATTAAGAATTTAAATCAATTTAATTCATTTTTTGTTTGTGTGCTTTTATAAACGTGTTACTGTGTGAGCATTTCCTGTGCAACCGGTCCAAAGGAAAGAAAAAAAAAAGATATATCTCTATATGTGAGAATCTCATTCATTCAGCATCCGATACCGCAAGAAGTTGCACCTGCAACACAACAACAACAACAGCCACACCAACAACAAGAAGCAATTTATTGAAGAAATGCTGCCGTAAACCCGTTTTTTCGTGCAAAAAGGAAAAGCATTGCCTCCAAGGCCAAACACACACTTACACACATACACATCCATTAACACTTGGACACACACACACACTCACACATTCGCAACATCAAAGGCAGGACTTGCAAAAAAAAAAAAATAATAATAACAACAAGAAACAATCAAAAATAATTTAAACAATTTTCTTAAACATATTCCGGAAGAGATTTCTTTATGGTAAGTTGAACATATTTTTTGTCGCCTTCTACATAGCAGGGGTTACTCCACTTACCTGGTTCCTTCCACGGTTCCACTTACCTGCTTTCCATGAAAAAAACAATAAGAGTTGCTAATTTCTTTTGGCTATTTTAAGTGCTTCCCTTTTTGCCAAAGGAAATCATTAAGCGGTTGCTCAACATTTTCGTTAATAAAGTCAGAATAGCCAGAATAGCTGACTTGTAGTTCTTACTTCCATCACATACCACACTTTTTACAAGAAACGGTGTAGTTTCTTATTAATAAACACTTTTACTTTAGTTATTCACTTAATTTACTTAAAATTTTGCACAAAAAAGCTTCAATTTGGGTGAAAAACTAGAAAAGAGCAGGCCTTTCTTTTGACGATTGAAGTTATCGATATCAAAGTGACCACAAGTGGCAATTACAAAAATATTGACGGTAATTAGTGTTGGACAAGTGATTAGTTTGTTATCTTCAAGTAGGTTTTTTTGGACATCTATTAAACAGAACCCAAGATTACTTAAAAATTGTAATGGTTTCTTTTTAAGACATTTTAAAGAATCTTTTATTAAGTAAATAAAAGAGAGAAACTTTAATTTGATGGATAATTTTTAACACTATTTAACACTACAAGAGTGTTATAAAAGTGTTATTAATAAAACTGTAAATAATGTTTCGGAATTTTACGGCAAGAAGTTTCTCAGAAAAGACAAAGACAAAGCTTTATATTTTCAATCAACCACGCGATATTAGAGACTAATATTTTAAACCAAAATTTCAAGACTTTTAAATAGTGCTGTATAGTTTTAGAAAAATTTAAAAGATTATAAATCCAAGCAACCAGACAAATCTTGAATCTCCTTATTAAACTCCAAAAATAAACATTACTATTCCCTAAAATTCTTTAAAAAACTTTAGTTACGATATAACCTTATAAAATCTATCTTTGAAAGCTATATTTAAACACTTTTAAATAGTGTTGTATAGCAGCTTAAAGAATTGAAAGGATTTAACAGCCTAACAAACAAAACAAACTCTTAAAACTCCTTCACATACTCCAAAAAAAAAACAGTCTTTGTTATCTTTATATTTCCAAAACTTAAACCAAAAATAAACCCAAAAGAAACATACAATTTTTATTCAAGTTTTCACCTTAAACACGCCACTGCTACTGCTTGTGCTACTGCTGTACTGGTTTCTCAACTTTTGTGATCCATTAAACTTAAAAAAAGGCCCCGAGAAATGTTTGTTTTGCATTCAAAAAGCAAACTAAACCGACATGCAAGGGGTTAAGAACCAAAAACCAGAGGCGTCGTTTAAAAGGCGCTGCTACTGGTGGCTGGTGGCGGAGGGGAGTGGCAGCTAAGCTACTAGCTTGAGGACTTTTTACGTTTTCATATTTCATGCAGCTAAGTATGCTATGGTTTTTTTATGATCAAGTTCCCAGTCTATGTGTGTGTTTCGTCTTGCATTTAGTTTAGTCTTGAGTGCAAATGAAATCCAAGCCTGGCCAATCCGTCAATCTATCCAACCAACCATCTATCAATCAATCAATCAATCAATCAATGCAAAATGACTTGAAACTTTTCTTTTCTTCGCCTGCGGGTACATGGAAAAAAAATGTTGCAAGTCAATTAAGAGTCAGATACGCCCACCGCCTACCGCCCACATCGGTGGCCAGGAGGTCAGAGGTCGTATTCCGCTTCCGGACTTGGCTAATGGAATCGCCGCCAAACGCCAAAAGGCCCTCGGTGGCTTCAACTTTCACCAAACTAAGCAAAATTCACTTTGATGTCCGACTACTGTATATTCTCAACATATTTTTATTCATTTTAATGCCAAAAGTTAAGTCACTAAGGTTAAAGGTTGCTTTTGGGGTTTGGTTTTTTTTTTGTTTGTTGGAAATTATTTCAATTAATTATGAATTTGTTCAACTTTTTAATTGCATTTTTTTGGGGGGGGTGGTAAGGGTTAAGTGAAAATCATGCCAATTAATAAATCATAAAGATTAATTGTTTGCTACAAGTTTGGAGTTCATAGTGGATGTGATTTTTTGGTTTAAAGTTGAAAGAATTAAAGGAAATATAACTATATCTCTTTTAAGAAAATATATTAATTCTTATCAGAACTCAAGCCCCAACTATCTTGAATATTCTTAAAATTTGAAAGCCTTTTAAAAACAATTCCTCATAAAATTCCCAATAAAGAAAAACCTCCTAACTTATTTAAAAAAATTTTACCAAAAATATCTGCCAATTAAAAGCCAAAAAAAAACCTTAAATATTTCTCCACAAAAAATCTCGATTTTCCAGCTATCTCAAGGCCAAAGTGAAACCCAATTTTCCACACCACACTTTTCCTTATTTCAGGAATATTCTCACAAACAAGTTTGTGGGTTTTCAGCTCTTTTAGTTCCAGATTTAGATTTGATTTGCTTTAGATTTAGATTCTCTTTCTCTCTTTCTCGCAATTTAATTGTAGTTTCCAAAGCAACTACCTCCCACCAACACTACCACTCCATTAACTTTTAGCCAATTTCCCAAAAAAAAAAATGTCATAAAAAAAATAAGAAAAATCTTGTTTGCCAATCAAATTTTTCAAGTGAATACCACAACAAAGCATCTGACGAAAGCAAGAACGGGTAATAGACAGAAACCAGAACATATAGCTAGAAAAGCCAAAGGAAAATGTGCAGAAAATCATAGAAGTGGGCGGGGTGGCGGTGGGTGGAGGAAAAACCTCAAAAAATATTTCTCTCCATTATTTTAATTTTGTTTTTTTCAACTCGAAAAAGTTTTCTAATCAAATTAAGAGGTGGAATATAAGGGGGGCGTTGTTGGGTCAGGGGGAGGCGCTTCAGTGTGAAAGTGAAAATTATCCAAGTCTATTTAGAGTCCGTGGAGATAATAAGATTACAGCGCAGGTCATGAGTCAAGTTCTTGAATCTTTAATATTTGAGTCTTATAACATAAGAAAAACCTATCCATAACCATATCCCTACTATATCCTTCAAAAAGCCCCAACTTGCCATCTAAAAATTGCAATTGAAACTAAAATATAAACTCCATAAATCCCAAAAATACACCAAAGTACAACCACTATACTACTATATATGCCAACGACTTCTCAACTCTGATCTCTGTGGCATTCGGTTTTTGTTTTTTTTTTTCTCCCTGGCCAGTGATTTAACGACGTGAAACGCACTGTGCTTGCTCCATAAAAATGTTCATCATCATTTGTTGCTTTTCGCCCAACTGCAAATGGGAAAAAGTTTACACATCTCAATGACCTTGGGTATGGAAACACACACACACCCCTGCCATACACCCATTCCACACCTCCTCTGTTCTAAAAAAAAAAAAAAAAACATATTTATTTATAAATGCGATACGAAAATGGCAAAAGCGAAGCAAGATGGCAGAAAGCGTGGAAAAAAAAAAATAGAAAAGTTTGCTGCATAAAACTGAATTACCGGAAATTGGCCAACAAAATAAAAGGAAAATAAACGGCAATGCGAAAAAATGTTTTGGAAGCTCAAGCTTTTTGGGCCAAAAAGTAGGTGGCCCAGACCCAGACCGGGCCAGGCCAAAAATGAAGAAAACGAAGAGCAGCAGAGCCAGTGGTGGAAAAAAAAAAACAAAAACTTTTTCACCTACTTTGGATCTCTTTTGGTTTTTATTCTTTTTTTTTTTTTTGCTCTCAGCTTCTGTTTTCCACAAGGAGTGGAGTCTTTTTGGCCCAAAAAATTGTGAAAAAATATAAATATAAGAATATATTATATAAATGGATGGGTACTTGGGGTGTAAATATACTCTATATATAGTTTAAATAAAAGGGAATAAATATAAAGAAAATCTAGGAATCTAATATAAGTTTTTTTCCTTGAAAGAAATGGTGGTAATGCAATAAAAGGCTAAAGTTTCCCTTTTAAAAAGACTTATTGTTAAAAAAAAACATATTCTATCTATAATATAAATATTACCTTACTAAAAAATCTAATCCTACTAGTAACTACTCTAGTAAATATTACTATCTCAAAACTTTTAACTCTAAAAAAAATCATTCGAAAAAATTAGTTCGTTATTTATTTTTTTAGTTTTTTATTTATTTAATAATTCCTTTATTTTTATTTTTATCTTCCAACTACCTACCTTACAACTATTTAATTAAATCCATAAAACCCACACTCTATTCCTAATTACATAAATATATGCCCGAAAAAGTAGGCTATATATTTTGCTTTTTCGCTTTTATTTAAATTTTTTTGTTTTTTGCCATTTTCTTGCCAACTCCTGCCGCCTTTTTGTTGTAATTGCAAATGCGCCACTTGCTTTTGACACCTGCTTTCCTCTACCTGAGCTCCTGAAGTTGGGGGGCGAGTCATTTATTATGGCCAGCTTCTTGGCTTTTACGCCCCTCACCCTTAGCCCTCCCCCGTCCTACTACTTTCCAACAAAGCCACTTCCATTGCGTTTTTTTTCTTGTATTTGTTGCTGTTGGCTGTCGCCGTTTGTAATTGACATGAAAATTTAATGCCATAATTTTATTTTGCACTTGGCCTACACTCCGCACTCTACTTTAGACCAAAAACCACCTCCTCCCCCCTCCCCAGGACCCAACTCCTTCTGTTGTGCACTTCTTATGTTTTTTTTTTTTTAGATTAGAAAAGTTTTGTCCTTGTTTGTAATTTTTGTTTATTAATATTTTTATTTTGCGTTTTTTTTCAGCTTTTTGCTTTTTGTCTTGTTGTTCTTGTTGTTTTTGCAATTTGTTTATATGGCCAATATGCCTATGCTTTTAGACACTTTTAGCCATAAAAAAGCAAAGTTTTTTGGTCAAGTCTCTAAAGTGTTGTGAAGTTGAAAAAAAAAGCGAAAAAAAATAAATAAAAAATAATAAATAAATAAACTTTGCATTTTCTTTAGGGAGTATTCATCTTAAGCCACTTTTTTCATCCAGGTCTTTTAATTATTTATTTTTTTTATTATTACATTATT